ATAACAACTCAAAAGTATTCTAAGGCCAGGCATGGTGTTGCATTCCTATAATCCCAGCCACTTGAGGAGCTGAGACAGGAGGATCATGAGTTCAAAGCCAGCCTCAGCAAAGGCGAGGCACCAAGCAACTCAGTGAGATCCTGTCTCTAAATAAAATACAAAATAGGACGGGGGATGTGGCTCAGTGATTGAGTGTCCCTGAGTTCAGTCCCTGGTAACTCTCCTCCCCCACAAAAAAAAAAATGTATTCTAAGACAGAAGAATAGTTTTGCCAGATGTTAATATATCCAGCAATATGTCTGATTTTTTATACTCTGTTTAGGCTTCTGTTATGCTATGGTTTGTATATGAAGTGCTCCCCAAAGTTTCACGTGTTGAAGGCCCAACTGCAGCAATCAGGGTTGGGGCCTTGGGGAAGTAATTAGCTTATGAGGACACTAACCTCATCAAAGAATTAATCCATCATGGCTGAATATACAAGGTAGTGGAAACTATAGGAGGTGGTACCTAATTGGAGCAAATGGTCACTGGGGCATGCCCTTGCTCTCTTTCCCGCACAAGTTGAGCAACCTTCCTCCAACACATCCTTCTAACATGATGTTCTACCTCACTACCTCAGGCTCAAAGTGTGGAACCACCAACCATAGCCTGAAACCGTGAGTCAAAATAAATCTTTCCTCCTCTAAGTTGTTTTTCTCGGGTATGAAAAGCTAATCCAATTCTGCTGTGTTAGCACTAAAGTGTTTTAATACTGATGAATTTTTAAATATCTATGATAAATAATCAAAGGAAAAATCATTACTTGGACAATTATAAAATATCCACCACACCCAAAACAGGCATTTTTTGCAGATGATTTTCTATAATGACCATCCTGACCTGGCATCAAGAGTTTTTCTTCCAATTTGAATATTTAGTCTTATGTTTTTATTGGAGTGAAATTGAATGGGACCATTTGAATAATACATTACTAAAGGCATCATGAATTGGAAACCCAATGTAAGAGGAACAGGACTTCAGTTTTCTAACTTCAAACAAAAATACCCCAATTCATGTATAGCCAGAGGTGGAGTTAAGAGCAATATATTAAACCACATAAGAATCTCAGAATAGTCATAAAAACCGGTTGTAGAAAATCCAAGTAAAACAGAACAATAGCCTAAACAACTTGCCAATTCACACACAGGCTGTGTGTCAATGAATCCCTCTCTCATCTTAAAATAGATAGCTTTTCCTTTCTATTATGAGGGTTAAAATAACTGCAACTTTTCCATTTTTGTTATGTTGAGGAACCTTGAGCCTAGGAGCAAAGTTAAGAGACCCAGGGTAAGTGCAAATTGATAATGCTTTAGGTGTGAGGGTAGTAAAAGTGAGATGGCAACCAGGAATGACACTTTAGGAAAACATGATAATGATCTGGTTCCAGGTGTGGGAATTGGAAGCAAGGGGTGTTCAAAGAACATGTGAGAAATCCTGCCCCAGGGTGGGTTTTAAAAAAAGGTGGTAAAATTTATTTCTCTATGTAAGGTTGAAATATTGGGACAAAATGTAAGAAACTCAACATGGAAGACATTAATATTATTTGGTGGCATAGAAACTAACTAATATCTGATATTTTTTTCTGTTTCATGTGGTCTAAAGTTTCTATAATTGGATAGACACAATCTGAGTGGCTGCATTTTTATCAGTTAATAAAGAAACATGAAACTACTTAAGGCATTGACAACCTCAAGACAATTGTTAGGTTTGTTTCCAACATGGTGTTAATTTTATATGTTTATGTCCTCATTCCTCAGGGGAAAAAAAATCAATGGTGCTATTTTATAAGACAAGAGTAGACTATGAATATAGATCTGTATCATACCATGATTTTTCTTTCCATATCACTATGGTTTTGGATATTTAAAAACTATTCTTCCTGGTATCAGATCTTCTTCCTAGTGCTATCATAATAACCAGAACTATGTGTTTATTTATTTTCAGAACAAAGCCAATTGATTTTTTTCCTAGATGATGAAAGAGCTTGCTTCAATTACCACCAGTGCTTCTTTCAGCTGGATCACGAGGAACAGCTTATTATGTCTTAGCATAAGGCAATCTAGAGATCTAATAAGAAAGTTATTTTCTGTATTTTAAATTAAAACAAAAACAGGTATTATGAATCAAATTTATCATCAGGGAAATCACTGAAATTTATTTAATCGAGGCCTGATATAATTTCAGTAAGTGCTCTCTTGAACAAGAAATCATGCAAGTTCACTGAGGCTGCAGTTACTATTGTGAAATTACAAATGTAAGAAAATTCTGCCATTTTCATTCTGACCTACTGAGAAAGAAAGAGAATCATCATTCAATCAAGAAAAAAAGGGGTAATGTGAGGGGAAAGGAGGTCAGGAGTCCTGGCAACTGAGAGAGAAACAGGTAAGGATGGAAAAGCTATTGTGTAGAAAAAACACTTTCCTCAGACTTAAGACAATGAGATCCAAGGGCCTAAATCCATTTTGAAAAATACACAAATGGCCTCCATTGGCAAGATAATCATAAATAAATGGACAAGTCACTGTAATTTTAGATACTGAGAAACAATAGTTTCTCAATAAGGCCGATAAGTTTAAAACACTTTTAAATATTACATGTAAAAAAAAAAAAGAGATACCATGGGAAGTTACACACTGTAGTCAATACATAAAGGCAGCATCCACAATAGAATCTAATCAGTATTAGAGTGTTCATCTTCAAGTTTTAATTTAAGCATAAATAAAACGATATTTACAGCATACAGTCACATACACAATCTCTCTGCTTAGTAGAGGAAACAGGACAAAATGGTTCTGAACAACAAATAATCATTAATCACACCTTGTAGTTCCTAGGGAACATTCAGAAGAAATAGGTCTTCAAAGATACCGTTTCTTACTTAAGCCCAAAACCTGTACGTATAAATACGTGGATAGAGGTACATTTGCACTTCATAAACCTTAGGCTCTTTTCTCCATACAACCTCCATATCTTAAATGGGACTGTGAAGAAAAATACCCACACACCCACACACGCAGATACACTCCTTAAATGTCGCTGAGTCTGTATTAAAGAATATCCTCCATCACTCATTTCCTTTGATGGATGTTCTGACCCCAAAATAGTTAGGATTATAATTTGCATTCAACACTCAGCTGCTGCATATTAAATCAGAGGCATAGTATCTATTTAAATTTTCTAAACATGAGCACATACATGTTAGTGGAGATGAACACCATTTTATAAAACCTGAATACTAAAATTTATCTTTATGAAGCAAAGCAATCATCTTATGAAAAAAGCTCCACAATAAATTAATTTAAATAGACTAGTCTATTTAAAATACTTCTTTAATAAGAATTCAGTATTTCACAATATTAAGTCCTATATTTCTACCAAATGTTGACTTTCAGAAAATTAGTAGTTTCAATTAGATTAAATGAGCAGTATACAGATTGAAATATTTTAAAACTTTAAACTTTTTAAGACAAAGAAGTTGTTATTAACAATTCTGAGAAAGCTTTATTTTAATCAAAATATGCCATATGGTCTTTTATTTTCCCTTAAAGAAATATATTTCTCAGAAAAATGAACCATAATAATAAAACCTGTTTAATTTAATGCAGTTGCAAGTACAAGTACTGTTTTTTCCAGTTAAGGCACTACGTAAGTGAGTTAGACTTCTAGCAGATTCTGCTATAGTTCACTGGGCCTCATTTTATTCTTTGAGTCATGTAATTAAATGATCACATCCAATAGAAACATGGCAGTACCTATCAATCAAAAGAGTACTTTCCTTTCTGAAATCAAGAATCAAATGCTAAAAGGGTCCATTCTACAAGAACCCCAGTGCAACTGATGTCACAGTGATTTCAATTATTAAAAGGAGATTTGCTAACAAGACATGTAACACTGTTTTTGGAACCCTAGTCAGTCATTCAGCCTTGAGTTCTTAAGAATTTGTTTTAATGTCATATTGCCAATCATACACTGAATTTTTCAGAGAAAAAAATGCACAAAGTAGCCAGTGGCATCCAGATCAACTAATTGATGTTAATAATTTGTCATTCTGCCAACAGTTTTTTGTTTGTTTTTCTTTTAATAAGACCTGATCAAAGTAATACATACTTGAAATCATCACAGGATAATGTGTCAGCTTTTTCAAACATGAAACACACATGCATGTTAAGGATGCAATGGACTTTGCACTGTTGGCTTTTGAATTCAGCTCTGTTTGTTATATATTCATTATATTATTACTCGGGAAGAAGGAAAGATTTTTTTTTTTTAAATTTTTTTTCCTCTAACCATTGCAGCTGCTTCTTGCAAGCAACAAAAGTTGCTAGAGAAATCATATATACACATACATGTAAAATTAGGGAAACAAGCTGCTTTATTGCCCGATTTAAAATAAGCTCAATCAGTAGAAAAGAAAAATGCTATAATATGCAGCTTGATGAGCAGCTGAAGACAGAAATACACTCAGATGCAGTTTTAGAATTCAGGATATATCTTATTCAGTGATGTCTGAATGAAATGAAGGACATTTTTTCCTCTTACTTTTTCTAAACCACTGAACCAACAAGTGGGATTTATGTGGGTTATATAGTCTAAAACAGAGAGATGTAAAATTTCTTTAATATGGTCCTACGGCTTTAAAGGCCTTAATTAAAATAAAAATTAAAGGTCTTGCTCCTTGTTAATTCTCTTTTATGGAATTATAACATATTTAAAATACTAATTATAAGAATTCCCAATTAAAATGATCATACAATCAAAAATAAAACTTAAGTTATGCAAGAGTGGTCATTACCACTCACTGTTTAGTAGTAAAACAAATACATTGATTGTATTGCAAGGCAATAATTAGAATATGTATTAACACAATTATAAAAGAACACTAAGAGGCATTTAAATCATCATCTCACAGGTCTAGGGGAGGAAGACATTGAAGAATCTGGAAAATATGAAACCAAGCTTACTCTTGACGGTCGCTGTCCGGGTGCAGTTGTAAAGGATAGCCAGCTCCCCAAACACTTTTCCGGGACCCATGGTACACAGCTTCACGCCTTCTTTTGTAACTTCAACCTTCCCATCTAAAACAAGAGAAAATCATGTTATCTTAATTTTCTGCCATGTTTCATTTCTTTTACTTCATTTACAATATGAGATTAAAACGTATATAGTTATTTAAAAAATGCAATGTTACCAATTAAAACAAAGTTGTCATGAATACGTAATGCCAGAAATACAAAAATATATATAAGAAATCCAACTCTTTTCTTAAATCATCTCTGATAAGATTTGAGATGACAGTTTAAGCCCAGAAAAAGATGGGCATAAAAAGAGTAAACATAAGAAGTTATTCCATATTTAATACTGGTAAATCATGATAATTCCAATTTTACCATTATTTGAAATCTGAGAGAAAACTTAATTAAGTGAGTACATTTTCTAGAGCACACTTCATGCTTGGAAATTTTCATTTTGAGTAGGCAGCTATTATGAAGAGGGAAATTATGGTGACCCTTGGGCATTATTTGATTGCAGCTCATGGTATCTCTTTATTTGTAAACATCTTATCTGACTTAGGCAAGACTGTTTATCTGTTTCCCAGCCCTGCCAACATTGACTGTCAGAAAAAATAAACTATAAACCTTGAGGGAAAAGAAAGAGCTTTTAGGACTGTTGTCATCCACAAAAGACTTGGAAAATGAAATGCTAAAGAAGGAACAGGCTAAGGAAACAGCATACACTGAGTAGATACTGTTGTCTGCAAGTAAGGAAGATGCCATTCATAGGAGAAATGGGGGGGATACATTTTTAAAGTTATAGCTCTGTAGGTTAAAAATTCCATCACCAGACACAACTAGGAGAGAACTAAAAAGGAAACACAATCTATTCTAGACCTCATCCTCTTCCTTTTTATTATTCCTCCAAGTTTCTTACCCACAGTCTACAGTTGAATAGCCTAATGCTTAACAAAAGAATTAGTTCCTGGCTGGCATAGTGTGGCATGCCTGTAATCCCAGTAGCTCCAGAGGCTGAGGCAGCAGGATTGTGAGTTCAAAGCCAGCCTCAGCTACTTAGTGAAGCCCTAAGCACCTCAGTGAGATACTATCTCTAAATAAAATATAAAAAAGGGCTGGGAATGTGGCTCAGTGGTTAAGTGCCCCTGGGTTTAATCTTTGTAACCAAAAGAAAATAAAAAAAAAATAGAATTAGTTCTTGATCAAAGAAAGAAGTAATGTCTGTCCCTCCAGTGTTTTCCCATCTTCTGGCTTCGTGCATTGACTTCATAATTGTTCCTTTATCTGTGAGCCTGATATAATAGTTGGCTTTTAAGAGTGTTGGTTTTACATTCATTCCTTCTCTTTTAAAATCAACCTAGTTTAATCTAAATAATGTTGGGAAAAGCATAGTTTTGATGGGTTATTTTTTTTAGAAAAGTTTAATATTAATCTTAACTATAATAAAAATAATATGAGATAAAATTTAAGTATAAAAATATTAAAACTTAATCCATGTATCAGTGATGCATGACCTAGCTTAAGAGCACATTGTTCTACCCTGAAAACCATTTCATATAAATAGTACTAATGAGAGAGAATTCTAGAGTAGTGAGGGTTGAATTCTACATAAACTTTACACATTATACTTGATCTGTGTACTCATGCCCTCTCTCTGCATGTAATGAAGATAATCAGGAATAAATAAATCCAACAATTTGGTTTTATTTTAGTTAATTTTATCTTATTACTGAAAGTGAGACAGGCCAGACTCTAACATGGTGGCTAAATTAATGCATCTTCTGAAGTCACACCAAGATTTTCTTACCTGTTTTCTCCCCAGCCTTATGACCTGGGGCAAGTTGCTTAATGTCTCAGTGCCTCAGTTTCCTCACTGGTAAAGTCAATGAAATCAGAGCACTTACTTCATTAAGTACACATTAAATGAGACAAATGCTTAATAGTGTCTGGCTCACAGCAAATGCTCAATAAATGATTGTTATTGCCATTGTTTTCATTGTGTTTCCCCATCACATGTATGAAGGCATGCATTATTTAGATCACACTGGAGAACAATATTTCATCACCTACTTCAGAAACAAACCAGGGTCCATATAGGGAAATGCTTTATTTTTTTAAATGGAGGAAAAAAATATTTTCAGATTCTTTCTCTCGGGGGCATTAAAGAGAGAACTTTTGAGTTCAAATCATTATCAGACCCAAAGAAAAAAAGAGAAGTTCACAAAATAACTCTGATCTACCTGAAAAAACAAACAAGCAAAAAAAAAGGGCAAGTCTTTGGACACTTCTCTATTCGCCTGTACCCGGTCAATATTCAATGTAATTCTCCTTCTGCTGCTAGTTTTGTCCTAAGGTTCCCTACAATAACATAGCACCAGCTTTTCAATGCATTATAAAATTTTCTTGACCTAAAGCCCTACCATTAATTATAAATAGAACTAAGATCAAAATGAACAATGCTGAAAACATTAAAAAACAACTTCCATAAATAAATGATTTTGTACAATTCTGCTTCTCTGTCTCTTTGGGTGTGACATTTAAAAGTTTTCAGTGGAAAGAGACCCTAAAGCAAAAATAAGATCACTACTGAGAATCCTGCTGGACAGTTTGGGAGTTATGCCTTTCAGAAAAATAACCAGTCTAAGTAAAAGACAAAGAGGAACATCAGGACTCTTGTTTTAGATTTCTTTTTGCTTTGTTTTCTTTTGTTTTAGTACCATGGATTGAACCCAGGGGCACTTAACCACTGAGCAACATCGCCAGCCCATTTTATTTTATTTTTTAAACAGATTTCCCTAAGTTGCTCAGAGCCTCGATAAACTACAACTTGCTATCTTCCTACATTAGCCTCCCAAGTTGCTGGGATCACAAGCATGCACCCCCTTACATGGTTCAAAGAGGATTTTAAAGAATCTTTAGTTACAGGAATGTGCCACCACACCCAGCCTAGCTGAATGGTTTCTTTTAGGAAGTCTGTGGACTAACCAACCACATCATGATAAGTATTCAGATATTTCCCCTTTTAAGAGGTTGAAAGTGTGTCTCCACCACCATGAGTACTATATTTGGTCCTACTGCTACTTTATTCCCTGAAAAACCACAGTCATATAATACCTATTTTAACTTATGGACAATTAGCCTTGTAACTGATTATGTTTTCCCTTCTCTTATAACCTTGCAAAGGTTTGTAGTCAGAACTGTGGTCTGGTTATAAAGTCTCAGAGGTATGAAATTTGTGCACAAAGTTACTTCTGGTTCCCAACTATTTTCATAATCTTACTTTATATTTGCCTAATTTTCTCATGTCTAACTTATTATTGTTGTAAATATGGATATAAATTATATATGCTAATTAGTCATACATGTATGAATAATGCTGCTAACAGAAGGTTGTGTTCCACATTAATTAGAATAGCTAATTTTTGTTTAAAGAAAGGTATTTAGGTTATTTTTGAGAAATAAAAGTTTGGATATAAAACATCTTGCTTGAGTTAAAAACTGAAGGTCAATATAGTCACAATAGTCAAGGAAATATAAGAAATCTGATATGATAGATTAAAGTGACTTCAAAAAAGCACTATTTAAAAAAAGTAAACAGAAACATCTTAATGGTAAACAGGAACAGTGTTTATAACTTGTTACTCTCAGTCACAAACAGATTGCTTATGCTTCCTCACACCTGTTGTGTAGATGAGGCACAAGTAATTCAGGGATGCAGGACTGATTGGTGCCGAAATGAAAATCAGGTGTATACATGGTATGAATGAGAGTTTTTTCTAACACATTTAGAAGTATCCCAATTTTCTAAAAGACCAGGAAAACAAGTCATTGATATGAAATGGGTTAAGCTTATGCACCAGCCTTGTAGTAAAATTGGAATCAATTAGAATTTTTACAGATTATTTCCAACTATGGAGTGTGTGCTCCACTTAAGAAAGCTAAGAAATAAGACAAGCCAAAAGTTTACTGCATATACGAGCAGCCCTAGTCCTACCCAATAGCTTAATAAACTTCCTCTATAGTGTTAGGCGGTCATGAAGCCACTCCCCTAGATTGCACTTCTTTACTTCATAGGCTGAACTTTTGTATGCTTTGCCAGAGGCTTATTCCTAACTTGGAAAGGTTCAGCTTAAAGGTTTTTATATAATTTGCTGCTAACTTTAGGAATGCATTTTGATGAACTCATTTCAGATCATCATTAATTGATGTGATTTCTATTGCTTTAAAGACATAGAAAAGATTCATCATCATTTATTCATGATTATTTTAATACATCAATTGGATTCTCAAATATGTTTGATTTCAAATCAAAGATTTTTAGAAAAAGAGTAGCAGAAAGTCAGATTCAGAATATTCTGGTAAAGTCCTGGACTTTTCCTATTATTATTTTCTCTGACCAAAGTCAACAAATCAACAGCCACTAGAGGCTCTCAGAACTGTTAGTTGGGAAACTAATGATATTCCAGTTAATCTCTACACTCTACTTTTGCTCCTCCTATTGTTTTTTAAGATGATAATACTCTATTTGTAATATTTTCTCTATGCCTTTTGCCACAATCTCTATGTGGAGGAAACAAAGAAACATTCAAATCATTTTAATTTGGATGTTTCTAAATTGCTAGAGTTGTTTGCCCAAGAGAAGTTGTTCAAAACAGGTGGCCGAGAAGAGGTTAAAAGAGTTATTTATAGTTTCATTAAATTCTTCCATCACTCCTTCCATTGCCTTGAATAACTGGAAGATGTATCACAGTAACTTGGAACATATTTTTAATTCTACTTCAGGTACCATATGCCTATTTACGATCTGGAATGAGCTAAGTCTTAAATCTTGTCTCTTTGAGCAGCAGTCAATCTGCCTTCTGGTTTTTGGCACCACTATATATGCACTACCCTTGGGGGATGCTAAGTGCTAACAGATCCATTATAAAGCATCTACATTCTTGTTGATCTTTCATAAAAATCAACAGATCCCATAAATAAACAGAGTTTACAAGGGGATCCCAAATTGCCTTACTTTGTTTATCCTGGTGGGTTTTATTATTATTATTTTTTTAACGAACTTGTTT